CAAAAGTTTGTCAATATTTCAAATGAATGCTAACTATTTTAGCCCGACAATATTTAAACATGGTACAGCTCACCTTTTCAATTTCTGTTCGGACCTGCTTGCTTTATTAAATATTAGTCTGTGTATTGGAAAAGTGGATAAGATTCGATTCTGCAGACCATGGACGGTTTCTATATTTCTGACTACAACCGGAAGTGTCTGAGCACAAAGCTGTACCAAGTAGAAAGTATACTTGCAAACACAGAAAACTTTACATCACATGAACAGACACCAAACATACCTATTAACTTTAATTGAGTCTAATAATATTTAACTATTTCGAGCTGTCCCAACGTCGTTGACGTGCTAAATTGGCCGACAATTCCGCTCAACGTTGGAGGAAGTGTTACAATGCTGCTCAGCTGACAGCCAGTTCAACTAGTTCCTCTCGTCTGTAGCAGGTCACAAGCCTTTCTTTTGTGGTTGGAGCATTTGATAAACTACTCGAGCATTTCTGTAAAAAGTACCTACTATACTTGAGTTAAATTTACAAAAATCAGTGTCAATATCTAAATTCAAATACACCTCAACAGTATATATGTTTGATTTGTTCAGTAAATTATATTATTTATCTATATAAATGTGGAAATCCCTGCAGGATTCTATTTTTGTATGGTGATGACGATTTCTGAACTCAATATAAGAGAACTATTTATATTAAAATAATATATATTGAAAGTCTATTTTCTTTAATGGAATATCAAAATCCAGTGTGACTATGTCCTTTATCAATTATTAATGCACTAAGGTAACAGGCTCATTTAACGAAGACTTCAAAAATGCATTATCTCTACCGAGTTCGCTTACAAACTAGAGCTTTTCAGATTAAATATGAGATAACATTTGATTAGTTAAGATTTAATCACGATATGTCACGTTGTGCAGTCAGAACAACTAATCCCGAGCATTACAACTAGCTTTGAAAACATTTATATTAAAGGGAATTAAAGCTTATCCTGAAAGTAATTGTAAGAATCGGTCGATAAAACGACTGCAGAAAGTCATTTTTAAAAAAGCTTCTAATCGATGGAATCCACATTAAAATATATACATGTATCTGGAATAGTTGTTATAAATTTTATTATGTTTGTTAATGCGATGAAGATTTCCTGCTTGCGATTAGGTAATGAAGACCTGAAACAGTTTGCATTACGGGAACACTTTCCAGGACAGCGACACAACCCATTTTCACTCCAGATTGTCAATGGAAATCCAACGAATATTCTGGAACATTCTGAACGCTTCGATACCTCTGACCTGCGTTACTTGAGGGGGAAACGCGGGTTTAAATAGAATTGTCTTCTCGATGTATTGAATCAGAATTGTACACCAAGCTCTTAAATTAGCGATGAACCTCTGAAGCGAATAATAGTATAAATTTGTATTGCATTGGTGGAATTTTATATTAACAGTAGTCGACTAGGTACTTCAACTTTAAACCGTACTGATATAGGTAATTATTTAATAAGTTGAATCTGGCAATAACATCATCAGCGTAATCGTTTGACTTCACAAGTAAACTAAACAAAGATTAAACGTATCTTGATACTCATCTAATCAGAATGCTTTAGCAAAGATTTACAATGCAGATAAAAGATACCACCATTAAAATAGAAATAGAAAATGTGCTGAATATTCGTTATTTCTGCATTAAAAATCTAATACATTTAAAAAAATCTAATAACATTTGGGGGCGTTTAGTGTCAATCTAATAATTAGTTTACCGTTTTACATCCCAATAGTCATTATATTGGTCGTGACTTCACACGCAACAATTACTGGGAATATAAACCAGAGCTATTTTTTAACAGAAACAATAACACATTGGCATTTTAATGTCTCTTAGGTGAAAAAAATATCACTTTGTATTAAGTAACGGCACCTCGGGGAAAAGTTTTTAACTTACATGTAGTTGTATTCAAGAAGCTATCGTTTTCTCAGATTACCATGGTCGTAACCTACCATAACAAACCTGCCTGCCAAAAAGAAACTACAAGAAACAGACATTTAAGGGCGGCCATCAAGACATTTTAGACGGTCGACTAAATTCACTTAAACTATGAAAATACAGAGAGCCAACATTAATCACCGCTATGTATCAACATAATATAGTTGCGCTTAACACGTTCATTGTCGTACTTTTATCTGATTGATGATTCTGCAGTGCATTGTAACAGTCTGTTACTAATCCAGATCAATAAATTGTTTATTACAACCCGGAATATACATGTATTCACAAATCTAATCAGATACTTCACAAATCGCCAATTCGTAATTAATTAATGCTTAAATATTTAATTGACATTGGCGTCTATCTCATTATATTATTATGACTTTCATTATATCGATATACCTTAAAGCATCATCATCATCACAATTATGATCCAAATATAAGAGATAGTATTCCAAACTACAATGATTATTTGACCACAATTGATATGATTGACTAATTCAAAAGTGTATTACGAAGGCCTTTTACGACTACACCACAATCTTGATTGATACGTGCTCGAGAACGATTTAATATAGTTTAAATATAGATATAAAGTTTGTTACTCAAAGAGTTGCCTATTGCCTTGTAAGTTTACCCAGTAGCACAATATTTCGCTTCATTGCTCTTGAAGCACCGTCGATTCTGTAATAAAAAATTATAGAATTTAGCTATTTGTTACACTTATGACTCACATGTCAAGTCTTCATCTGTCTGACAGATCTGCACTTCATACATTTCATATTCAATTTGTTTAGATCAAACTTATCAGCAAAATTCCGAAGAATTCTTAGAAGTGTATTGAAGCATTTGCAGTCCATATATACTGGGCAGAAGGAGTGTTTGCTATTTAACAAGCAGTTTATAAAGCTTTGGTGTTGAACTCGATATTTTTGCTTTATACTTCAGAATATGTAGGAAACATATTTTCTATACCTTAGTGTTCGTTTAGATTAAATCTGTAAGTATTGGTAACGATGTTGTCTACGTTTTTTAAAGACCTACGATGGTATAGCGTGGATATTTAAAGTATACTTAACCCGTATCCTGGTAGTAGGTGAATACTTTCATTACTAGCAAGGTACAAGCGGTTTCGAAAATGTTTTACTCCCTGAGACACAGCTGGCATACTATCTAGGGGAAATACATCCAGAAACCAAGCAATTGCTGATCATTAGCTTAATATCATGGTATGTAACAGTAGGCTACTAATAAAGCACTGTACTAATGAAATCTGTTTTCTAAAACAGTCCACCAATCAAATTACAACCCTCATTACATTAGTTACCAGATGCTATAACTTGATAGTCAGAAATTCCCTATTGAGTTGTCATTATCCACACTTTACACTGTTCAAATGAATAAGATATACTTGTGGTTAAAAATAAAATACTCTCCTAATTGTCTTATGAAGACATATAACATAATACATTTCGACTGAAATAGACATGGAACATGTTAAACTTTCATCAGAAACAAAAATTATACATCTAGGGTCTGTCAAAATTGGCAAGAAATGGCCATTTATGTTTTGGGGTAAGGTCGGCGCACTGACAATGCAGTCACATGTACTGGGGTTAAGACAAAAACTTTGACAGGTTGCCACTCGAAAACTATCAGATGTGTAAAGAGCGAAATGTCCTTTCTAGATCAGGTTTAGTATTTCATCCCAGCAATTACATGTTTACTGACAATGGAAAGCTATGCTTATTGTAATAATCAAAATTGCCAATGGCCTTATCACCGTTATTTGACAGTGATTGCAGTTAGATGGTAATTATGAGTTATATCTAGAAGCAAGGGACTCCTATTACAATTTGAATGTCAAGCAGAAATATTATAAAGTTCGTTATCTGATAAAAGGTCAATGTAACTATTTTAAAATTACAATGATAAGAGAACATCATATTATATGCGGAGGTTGTACATTCTTCAGATTCGAATTCTAAGATCGGAACGTGTAGGTATTAAATGAAGCCTTAGTCCACATTCCAATAAAAAATCAAGTTATAATTTTAAGCCTTTCCAAAACAGCATGTTCCGAGTTGTTCGACTTTTCAGCAAGATTACAGTTGACATGGAAAAAGCGTCTAGTTGTTCGGATGGAACCATGTGTACAACAAGCTCAACAGTTAGAAATCGAAACAAAACAGGTTACTACCACTGCCCTGGCAAGGTTTTCCTCATTGCTCCCTGGCGTTACCCGTCTTCATTAGACCACATGGTGCCGTAAAACTCCATTCATTTTCAACTTTTCAGCAACTTTGAGCAAATATGCTAATGTACTTATAGTTCAAAGGTAGAATTCTTTGTTGAACAATATTCAAATGTTAAGAAATAAGTCTGTCGCAATCCAGAATAAATATTGTATAGAAATAATGTAATTTATATGTCGAGTAAATAGATTACAAAATATATTATCAGATAAGGGTCAATGTCGTTAGTCAAAATTTACTTAGATAAATCTACAGCATAATATGCTGTAACAGTGTATTGTTCATCGGTACAAATTATCTATTTAATGAACTAGCTTAACTAAGGCCTTGTTTTTAAGGGTCCTTTGACCCCTATGATAAACAATGCCTAATGTAAGTACTCAGTAGAAAATAATACCCCCCTGTGATAAAACAATGCATAATATATAGCGTAAGAAAACGTCTGGCGATTATATGGTGATGATAATTGTATAATGCAACAATTGGATATTAGGTTTCCTTAATCATCAATAATATGTACTTATATTGTTAGAACCAGCATGGCAACATCGTCATCAATATTAAATACACCTGCTTTTTCAGATAGCTTTGAGCAAATGAGTAAAAACTATCGCACATAATTGTTATCTTTTTAATAAAAAAGTCCTCCAGCAATATATATATTTTTCGATAGATACTGTGAGATTATTTATAGTAATGTTTTAACGTTAAGTATAAATATAATAATGGGATCTATAATAAAATAATATACTTACCATTAGAGGACAATAACAAGCGGTAAATACTATTGTTATACCTATTAATAATACCACCATTTGAATCTCGCCATAACGTTTAGAATTACCATGAAATTTTCTGGCCTCGCCACTTTTGGATTTTAATACTTGTTGTTTTTTTGTCATTTTGACTAGAGTATATATCACAGCACCATTACAGATTACAGTTACTAATACCGTTAATAATCCGATCATAACGTAAAAATAATTGAAGGCCATATTGGAAGGTTTTTTACTGGTATAATCAAAGAAACACCACGTCTTAGGATACTGAAAGGCATTTTCACCCATACCTATAAACGGTAGACAAGCTATTACAATTGATAATATCCATGATCCTATCAAAGTTATTTTAGCGAATTTAGCTGTCAGTCTAGTATGATAAATGTAAGGGTGTCGAACACAGATATATCTTTCAATAGACATAGCACACACAATCAACATGGTCGTAAAATTAGCAAATATCATCATAAAGGAAAAATAATGACACATAGCCATACCACCTAGCCATTTAAAATTGTTCATATAGACTGAGATCACAACCGGGGAGGTAGTACAAGTGCCAAATAAATCAGTAACAGCTAATCCAGCAACTAGTTTATAGAATAACGTACGTCGTTGTTCGGGGGCTGAGGTTGCCAGTACGAAGAGGGCTAGAAGGTTGCCGACGACCCCTGATCCGAACATGACACTGGCTACCATAACAGTATGATTCCGTTTATTAGTATCAATCACATACCCTTCACTAGTCGAATTCACATCTAAATCAGATGCAATATGAAGCTCCCCTATAACAGGAGCTGTGGTATTTATCGTCGAATAAGTCATTGTTAAAACAAATAATTACGAATCTCTCAAGTACATCCTATAACACGTGATTAAAAAATTTCGAAAAACATTTTCAAGGTCTTAAAATAAAACTATTCACCATTCACAAAACGTTGACACGCATACACAAGTAACCTGTTTTAATAGAGATAGGTAAATACTAGACAAATCATCACACCAGCAATTATATTACACCTGATACATATCAACTTGACATCGTCGTATGTTGCATACAATTTATTATAAACACAACCATCACGGAGAATATATCAAGCCCTTCTGACAGTATACAACACTTTCTATCCTATACAGAACTGAAGTACGGTGGTGAGATAAGCTGGACTATTATGAACTATTTCAGGATACCGTACAATTTACTACTACCAATCATCAATTAGGCTGACTTTTACAACTGTGACGCATGGTTTGTGAAAGAAAATAGCCGTATCAAAATCTTTGGTAGTATTTGCGTCCGGTAATTAAAAACTAATTACAATATATCAATGTTTTTTGTGTTATGAGAGATACATGAAAGATGGGATTTACTTTTTTTTCATTAGATGTAAATTGGAACATAAAAAATTTATAGTCAAACTGAGACCTAGTAACTAGCGGGATTATTATTTTATGAATTATAGAAATAATCATGTATTCAACATAAGTTTACAGCGGAAATAACTTCATTTGAAAGCTGTTTCTCAACTTATTCGCACTGTTAAGCTATTTATAATTTCGTCTAATACCTTGACTGCAGTAGCCACCTTTGTTGTTTTCAGATTGTTAGTAAATGATTTGTAAGTGATTTGATTTGATTGTAAGGTAGCGAATACAGCCAACTAGACTCCTGGAAAGAAAGGCTGTATACAATAAGCCATAATGTATTTTTGTATTTGCCGGCGTACAATCTTATTAAATTGCTGCATTCTGTGATACAAGAACGGTGGCTATTGTGGTCAAGGTATAAGTTTGTAATAGATTGACATTGTGAAGATGGCAGGGCAGCTGAATATATCAGTAGCACATGACAGAGTGTCCGCATGAGCAAAAATATATTGACTTTTCTTCAAATACCTTTAAATAAAATCTGGTATACAGATGGTTTAGGTAAATTGCGCGAAATTGAATAAATACGCGCATCTGCAATTTAAATATCACTTCCTGAACGGCTTACTTCCAAAGGAATGGCATATTTTCCAGACATACCTTTTCATGGTGACAATACAGCCCATTATAACCATCAACAGAAAAACTATAAATATTATGGCTTATTGTTTACAGACTTTTTGTTTACTGATTTGCTTTATTCGCAGACGCACAATCCAACTAATCCGCTTTATTTACAAATTACAAATACAAAAATAATGGCTATTGCAGTCGAGGTATAAAAAGAAATTCGTTATAGCTTGATATTGTGAAGATACCATTGACCATGAATATAGAGAGACTGAAAATAGAACACGGACATCTGGCTTATAAATAGTCTTTAGTTCCAGCGAGAATGACCACTCTGACGTCATATGGGCTTTATATTACAATGAAGGATTGATAGGTATACCATTAGAGATAAATTTAAAGTGGTCGACTGATAGAATTGCTATATAATAGTGTCATTAAGATAAGAGGGGATTTAGCTGTCATCAAGCAAATAGAACTAGTTTACAAGGGATATCTTGCTCTTTCAATTACATATAAGTATACCAAATATATACTTTCTCCCTACAAAATATAATTAACCCATATAATTATAACCAACAAATAACTGTCTCTTTCCAGTATCATATTTAAGCCAGAAATCTTTTTCATCAATGGTAACGAAACAAGAACATATTTGATAATAATTTGATAAGCGAAATGAAGAATCAAAATTATGTCAGATGCAAACTTTACACTAAACAGAGATAAACACCTTAAAAAAAATCAATGATATGGAACATTTGCCAGAGGTATTACGTGCAGAATATAACTCTAGTTCTGTAAAATCTAAATGTTAAGCAGTCAAGTCATAACATCCTGGGACATCTATGAGACTCTGACAACTTCCAACTCTGTCTAAACACGTCAAACAAGGTCCAGGGCAATAACGTGAAAAGTCAAACTTCCTTTTCTAGAAACCTAGATTCCGTCCATTTCATCCGTTAACGTACACCAGTTAACACATTTAATGATGGGTAAATTTATTAAAGGTAAATACTTACAGTCATATTTTTCCCGACCTTTAAGTAATATTTAGCTCACTCTCTGTACAAGCTACTTCCTTCTACTTTCTTGCCATGCCCGTAGAAGAGAGAGGCTGGTCATTGCTCTTATGTGATTTATTTATGTGCATTTTTATATAAAGATTAAAATGACCAATGGATGATCAGTTTGTATTATAACAATAATTATAATAGTACATAGTATGACGGAAACATATACGTGACCACAACATTAAGACAATAACGACCAATAATACCTTTAAAACTTTTAATATTAAATTCCACATAGTACAATAAAAATTTAACCTTGATATTTCATGTTGTCACCAGTATCTAAAAATAATTATTTATTGTCTTCATCACGATTTGGTATCAGGTGACAAATGCCATTTAATTCCAGAATAATGCAGTAATATGGAGCGTGAAAACCACTTATCAAACAAAGAGGCTATTGCAATTGTCGACAAGACATCCAGGTTTCCGAGGTCAATGGTTTTTTAGCGCAACATTTTATAATACCACAGTTTCTGACATGAATAATAAATGAATGGCATAATGTTAACTGGTCTTCGTATAATAAAATATTTGCTGGTGTAGACCCACTGTCCTTCGGGTCATTCTTCAATCTTGAATTGCTTGAAGCTCTCCAGCTCAAGACCAAAAACTGAACTGGTTCCACAATAATACGTACTAAAGTGGTGTTGCAAACAATACGGAGCATGCTCAAACAACGGGAACATCTAATGCTACTGGGTTCCTTTACACACCATTCCTCCAGAGAGTCCATTTAGCCTGATGCTGTTTATTTAGTACATTATCTTGTTAATCATATGCAGCTATTCGAGTATTCGATCAGTTGTGTAAGCCTATTATGCAAATGGACCATCCCTAACAAAAAGAATCATTAAAAGTTCTTTAAAGGTTGTGTAAGGAGGTTTTCTAAATTTGTTTTGTGTATGGGGGACACTGATAGCATCAATTTGTACCATTTCAATTTTCAATCAGACATCTGTGGTTCCTGTAATTACATTAAAACTAAGTGTTTGATGACGTCACTAATCACGAAGAGCCTTAATATGTGATACAAGCATGATTATTTTAATTAGTGGTGTCATCAATCACTTTGTTTTAGTGGAATTGTAGGAACCGCAAACATCTGATTGAAAATTGGAATGACGCAAATTGATGACATCAGTGTCGATGATCCATATAAAATAATTTTAAAAACCTCTTTGCACTGTCTTAAATGTGAGCAGTGTGTATCGTAAATCAAGTTCAAAATAGTGTTTTATATTCTAATCAATGTTATATCAATAGGTTGTATCTCTTTGATTAAAGAGAATTGAAAGGTTAGAGAAACCTGAAGATATCATTGATGAGCTGAAAGATAATAAATATTTCTTGATCTCATCGACTCATATATCTCAAGACAATAGATCAAAATAACGTATCTAAGGATCTAAGTCTGCAAATCATGGACACAGAGTTTGGTTAATTACACATGGTGTGGGAAATGGTTATGCACAGCGATACATATAAATTACCAAACAATTGTGTGAGATAGGTTCATTAAAACTGACTTCTCTGAATTATTTATTTCTTTCTGATAATTTCACTTATGTTTAGAAAATTGCTGATGTAGTTGGTAATCTAACATCATCCTGTTACGGTATTCTCAAGGGAACAATTACAGGGATACTTCCAATAGGGTCTGGTATTAACAGCATATTCGACCATAACAACTACTTTAAGTGCTGTCAAAATGACAGGGACGAAGGTTACTGATTGATAATATCTTAAGTGTCGATCTAACTTTTGGAGTACTATTGTGTCATCTGTCCCTTATGAATGTATTTTTTTCTGTTTCTGATGTTAACTTGTACTGTTAAATTGTCTATACTGTTCTCTCCGAAGGTTTTGGCATTTCTGCAAGTAATCTTTCTCCTTTACGGACAGTGGTGATTGAAAAAGCTTGAGGTTCAATGGCGATAAATGCTGGGATTGTGCGCGGCACAACATTAATATCATTTAATACGAAGTTCGAATCATTCTGATAGTAAATCGACAATAGAAAGATATCAATATTTGCAAACAATGTTGGGATTATTCCCTTTAATGTAATCATGAAAGACTGTCATTAAATATACATGGTAAGAAACTGATAATTCTCGGCTAGTCTTTTGTTATTAATATCATTCGTCTTTAACAGCAATCTAGATGAATTGAAATATCTCAAGGGGCGAAACTGAGTAGATCTGTCTTCGTTGAATATTCATCTCTGAAAATAATATGTCTTATAACATTTTGACATACTAAGACGTTTGAAAATCATGGAAAGTTCATTTCATCGTACCCAAAAAAGTAATTTTGAAATTTTTTGAGGGATATGAGGCGCTTTGCAGGATAGCATTGAAATTTTGATCAATATAAATTTAAGTCGTTCTTGAATCGTTCAACTTGGAGGCCGCGTTTTGGTCGCAGCATATCGAGATAATGCTTGTTTCCTATACTCAATTGGGTTAATGACAACAAACAACAATCACCTCACGAACAGTCGGATATCTCACAGTTCTTAACTTAACTAGCGATCAGGGAAAGTGTATAGTTGGCAGATGATATTAAACTGAAAACCCTCATCCTAAGAAAGTGAATGAAATTGTCGAAGCCCCCATCCTGAGAAAGGTGTTTGATAAATTAACCTGTATATTGATATAACTAGAAGATATTTATTATGATACACAAAAAACTCTAGTTAACATCTGGTCTAGGTTATTGATGTAACGTTTAGTAGGAAATAGTCAACAACATATGTATTAATGAGACTGGTAGTAATCTAAAAACGATTATTAAATAACCCAGAGGTAAAATAGACCTTCTCTAACCTTTACTGTAGAGAATAGATGTACGTACCCCCGACAGTAAACCAAGTATAACTATGTCTTGCCTGCTCGTCTGGAATTAATTCTAACAATCTAGTTAGGCAGGAAGTAACAATAAATAATCTCTTGTGATCTCAGGTATTATGTTTTTTACAAACTTTATTACTGCTTTTATAATGAGAGGGTGAATTCTAAAAGGTTGACGGGATTCGATTGAATGTAATATCTGTCACTCTGATGTCGGGTATTACGCAATAGTTAAAAAGTTTATAGTGACATTTCCAACATGACCTTTGCTTACTGACACTGAGATTACAAAGCTATAAAATAGTTAATACATATCAATTTGGAAAACAATAAATTTTAACAATAAAAATGAGAGAATTTGTTCATTATTGCCACTCGTTAGCGGCGACAGCCTCCCGAGACTAGAGGTACAAATAGGGGACAGACTAACTCAATGGGGGGGGGGGGGGGGGGACTGTTGAGGCTGAACTTAAAACTCTTCCCTCACCCTCATAGGCACTTCAACAATAGTGGGTTGTGATAACGAAATCGTCTTGCCGGTTTGGTTAATTTCCGGTTTAGCAACACCTGATTTGCAGGGAGGCTTACAGATGATCTAAGAAACTGTGACATTATCTACAGGCTCAGACATTATTTTGAAGACTTGTTATATTAGAATGTACTATTTTCTAGGTATATAGCGCACGTCAGTACATAACGCCTCGTGCCTTTATTTTTGAAGCAATACCACAAAACCAAAATATTGAGTAATTACCTATGGATTGAACCTGGTCTTTTGATGAACAATTGAGAGAATATACTAGCAATTAATGTTTGTACAAGTTTCGGTTCCAATTTGTTCTACCATGTGAATCTGCTTAAAAGCTGTCTTCCAAGAACATAGCACCATTTATTCTTTCTCTCGCTCGGGTGACGATCCTGAATATTTTTTAGTAATCTAGAATAGCTAGCTGAGTGAAACGTTAATGTTGTGGTTTTCTATTCATATTAATTTCCCGCATTGACTCCAAAGCTAAAGCTTGTTCAACTTTATTATGTATAGTTAGAGAAAATTATTCCAACAAACAAGAAATGTTCTAGATATATTTAAATGGATAAACCAGTAGTAATAAGACTTCAATGATATATAGAAACCCAGAGAGGTGTCTTGAAGAATTGTTAATATGTATCTTGGAGGTCTTCTTCTATTTCATCAGTATCAAAGTGTACCTACCACATTCTGACATAATGCAACAAATGATGTACAGTTGCGTGCAATTTGTATACAATATGTTATAGCACGTCTTTGTTGTTTAAATACCGAGACTGAACTAACATACTGGAGGGTAATTTGAGTCTCTTGTGGAATCTTTTGGAATATCAGACATTTCTTCCGCCTTTACTAACGCTATTTTACCATTGAATTGCAAACGAGAAGTCTGAAAAATATGTGAAAAATTTATTTATTAGAAAAAAGATGCCTTAATGCATTTCAACTGAATCGGTTTTGTTCTCTTACGAAGATTTACTTAGTCGGTAAGGAATTTAACAGTTGGTACTACGCATTCCATACCATTCAGTTGGTACTACGCATTCCATACCATTCAGTTGGTACTAAGTATTCCATATCATGCAGTTGGTATAAAGCATTCCATACCATTCAGTTGGTACTAAGTATTCCATACCATTCAGTTGGTACTAAGTATTCCATACCATTCAGTTGGTACTAAGTATTCCATACCATTCATTTGGTACTAAGTATTCCATATCATGCAGTTGGTATAAAGCATTCCATACCATTCAGTTGGTACTAAGTATTCCATACCATTCAGTTGGTACTTAGTATGCCATATCATGCAGTTGGTATAAAGCATTCCATACCATTCAGTTGATGCTAAGCATTCCATACCATTCAGTTGGTACTAAGTATTCCATATCATTCAGTTGGTACTAAGCATTCCATACCATTCAGTTGGTGCTAAGCATCCCATACCATTCAGTTGGTACTACGCATTCCATACCATTCAGTTGGTACTAAGTATTCCATATCATGCAGTTGGTATAAAGCATTCCATACCATTCAGTTGGTGCTAAGCATTCCATACCATTCAGTTGGTACTAAGTATTCCATACCATTCAGTTGGTACTTAGTATGCCATATCATGCAGTTGGTATAAAGCATTCCATACCATTCAGTTGATGCTAAGCATTCCATACCATTCAGTTGGTACTAAGTATTCCATATCATGCAGTTGGTATAAAGCACCCCATACCATTCAGTTGGTGCTAAGCATTCCATACCATTCAGTTGGTACTAAGTATTCCATACCATTCAGTTGGTACTTAGTATGCCATATCATTCAGTTGGTACTTAGTATGCCATATCATGCAGTTGGTATAAAGCATTCCATACCATTCAGTTGGTGCTAAGCATTCCATACCATTCAGTTGGTACTAAGTATTCCATACCATTCAGTTGGTACTTAGTATGCCATATCATGCAGTTGGTATAAAGCATTCCATACCATTCAGTTGATGCTAAGCATTCCATACCATTCAGTTGGTACTAAGTATTCCATACCATTCAGTTGGTATAAAGCATTCCATACCATTCAGTTGATGCTAAGCATTCCATACCATTCAGTTGGTACTTAGTATGCCATACCATTCAGTTGGTACTAAGCATTCCATACCATTCAGTCGATGCTAAGCATTCCATACCATTCAGTTGGTGCTAAGTATTCCATATCATGCAGTTGGTAAAAAGCATCCCATACCATTCAGTTGGTACTAAGCATTCCATACCATTCAGTTGGCACTAAGCATTCCATACCATTCAGTTGGTACTAAGCATCCCATACCATTCAGCTGGTACTAAGTATTCCATATCATGCAATTAGTATTAAGCATTTCATGGTAGATTCGGGTTGCCTAGAATGAGAGAAACTGTTTTATTGTGGAATTAACTTTTTGGTGTTATCTTGTCCTGTTGGCTTTCAGTCTGAGATTTAACTGTTAAGTCTTGGAGGTGAAGTGTATTCGTTTAACTAATGTAGATCCAATAACCAACTACCACAATTACCAACAACTTCCAAATCTGTTATATCAGCGTCTGCGGGAAATGGGCGTTAACTTGTCATTTCCCGACCAACCAATTCCAAATTTTTACTGAAGTTGGATTACATAGATTTAACACTGACTGTTAGTTTCAGCATTTTATGTAATGAGGTATATACAAAATATCGTAACTACTGCCTAGCAACTCTATTATAATTAGATTAGTCCGTTCTAGATATAAGATATGGTTGAAGCTCCACTGAATTATGGTCAGAATTTGAATGTATTGGTATATGATATTGTATACAAGGATTAGATCAGACAAACATGACATGCGAAATTAGAATGATAGCATTTTACATCAACACAATTAACAATTTCTCTCGTTGCCAATGTTGTTTTTATCAGAAGATACAATATTCATTCAAATTATTTCTTATATTTAACCAGACTTTTCTAAAATATTCATAACTCTACTAGACAGTATCCATTTTGTAAAAAATGTTCAGATAAAACTTGTCTTCTACAAGTCACATTGTAACTGAGATAACCATCTTTCCTCACATAGAAATTTTCTATAGTCTGTCTTTGTAAATAATAAAAAACAGTCAAGTCGTTTCCTTCTTATTGTTCAACGCGTTTCGTGTTTGAATTTTAAGTGCCAATTATATCAGATCAGATGACTGTTTGTGAATAGAAAACGGCTTTAAATCTGGCAATTGACAGGAACTGTTAAAAGAGCACGAATTATAGGTCATAAATAAACTTTTACAAGGTTGTGTGTTCAATTATCCTATAATACAATTTCATATAAAAAAATATTTTCTTTATAAAAGAGTTTAAGTTCAGCTCAATTAGATTGAGTGTTATGGCGGATGGCATGCTCGCTATTTAAAAACACTTCTAGGACTCTGTGACAGAGTTTATTATCTTTGCATTTTCGGATACAAGAAGTAAGATGTGTAAATGTTATGTTTCTTTTCCATAGCAACATCTCTATCGTGTTCTTAGATATGAGCAAACATTGTGTATAACATTGCGTTGACAGAACATACTTCGCACAGTGTATTTTCGGAGATTAAGCTTACAATTTTGAATTCAGTTAATCCTTTTCATGATTGTATTTGCTTTCCTATCTATGAAAGAGTGTCAAGAAAAGACGAGTCGTTGTTTTAACATTCTAACGCGGATAATTGTTGAAGTCTAAAATTTTGACAGTGAGCTGTGAACACTATTACTGATTAGCGTGCATAAAGAAAAATTGTTTCTGAGACTAAGGTACGATTGGTGAAACGAATGACGAACTTGTCTCTTTAAAGTCATTAATGTAATTGTAACACCTTAGGTGACATTCTCTTAACTTCCGTCTTTAAAATATTTTCGGAAAGCGAGGAAATCATTTCGCTCTAAAAGCAGCTGGTATGATCAACCTTCAGGGACAAATGCAGATGATTTTCCGGAAATATCTTTATTTTGAAATATGTATAAATTAAACTGATGGTACCAATTAGTTATATTGAAGAGAAGTCGCTCACCAATATGTTAAAAAATAAATTTTAATGGAACTTTCGATAAAAGTCTATGGTTTGTGAGTCGTGTTTAAAAACAGTTCACCCTACTGAGCAGTGTTTGAAATCCATTCACTATCAATAATATACTAATTTAGATGTTTTAATTGATGAGTTGTGTTTAAAATCTACTCACCATCAATAATCTACTAATTTAGATATTTTAAGTGATGAGTTGTGTTTAAAAACAGTTCACCCTACTGAGTAGTGTTTGAAATCCATTCACTATCAATAATCTACTAATTTAGATATTTTAAGTGATGAGTTGTGTTTAAAAACAGTTCACTCTACTGAGCAGTGTTTGAAATCCATTCACTATCAATAATATACTAATTTAGATGTTTTAATTGATGAGTTGTGTTTAAAATCTACTCACCATCAATAATCTACTAATTTAGATATTTTAAGTGATGAGTTGTGTTTAAAAACAGTTCACCCTACTGAGTAGTGTTTGAAATCCATTCACTATCAATAATCTACTAATTTAGATATTTTAAGTGATGAGTTGTGTTTAAAAACAGTTCACTCTACTGAGCAGTGTTTGAAATCTATTCACCATCAATAATCTACTAATCTATGTTTTAAGTGATGAGTTGTGTTTAAAAACAGTTCACTCTACTGAGCAGTGTTTGAAATCCATTCACTATCAATAATATACTAATTTAGATGTTTTAATTGATGAGTTGTGTTTAAAATCTACTCACCATCAATAATCTACTAATTTAGATATTTTAAGTGATGAGTTGTGTTTAAAAACAGTTCACCCTACTGAGTAGTGTTTGAAATCCATTCACTATCAATAATCTACTAATTTAGATATTTTAAGTGATGAGTTGTGTTTAAAAACAGTTCACTCTACTGAGCAGTGTTTGAAATCTATTCACCATCAATAATCTACTAATCTATGTTTTAAGTGATGAGTTGTGTTTAAAAACAGTTCACTCTACTGAGCAGTGTTTGAAATCTATTCACTATCAATAATCTACTAATTTAGATGTTTTAATTGATGAGAGTGTTTAAAGACAGTTCACCCTACTGAGTAGTGTTTAAAATCTACTCACCATCAATAATCTACTAATTTAGATATTTTAAGTGATGAGTTGTGTTTAAAAACAGTCCAATCTAGTGAGTAGTGTTTGAAATCTATTCACTATCAATAATCTACTTATTTAGATGTTTTAATTGTTGAGTTGTGTTTATAAACAGTTCACTCTACTGAGTAGTGTTTGAAATCTACTCACTATCAATAATCTACTAATTTAGATGTTTTAAGTGATGAGTTGTGTTTAAAAACAGTTCACCCTACTGAGTAGTGTTTGAAATCTATTCACTATCAATAATCTACTAATTTAGATGTTTTAAGTGATGAGTTGTGTTTAAAAACAGTTCACCCTACTGAGTAGTGTTTGAAATCTATTCACTATCAATAATCTACCAATTTAGATGTTTTAGGTGATGGGTTGTGTTAAAAACAGTTCACCTTACTGAGTAGTGTTTAAAATCTATTCACCATCAATAATCTACTAATTTAAATGTTTTAATTGATGAGTTGTGTTTAAAAACAGTTCACCCTACTGAGTAGTGTTTGAAATCTATTCACTATCAATAATCTACTAATTTAAATGTTTTAATTGATGAGTTGTGTTTAAAAAACAGTTCACCCTACTGAGTAGTGTTTAAAATCTATTCACCATCAATAATCTACTAATTTAGATGTTTTATGTGATGAGTTGTGTTTAAAATCTACTCACTATCAATAATCTACTAATTTAGATGTTTTAAGTGATGAGTTGTGTTTAAAAACAGTCCAATCTACTGAGTAGTGTTTGAAATCTATTCACTATCAATAATCTACCAATTTAGATGTTTTAGGTTATGAGTTGTGTTTAAAAACAGTTCACCCTACTGAGCAGTGTTTAAAATCTACTCACTATCAATAATCTACCAATTTAGATGTTCTAGGTGATGAGTTGTGTTTAAAAACAGTTCCCCCTACTGAGTAGTGTTTGAAATCTATTCACTATCAATAATCTACCAATTTAGATGTTTTAGGTGATGAGTTGTGTTTAAAAACAGTTCACCCTACTGAGTAGTGTTTAAAATCTATTCACTATCAATAATCTACTAATTTAGATGTTTTAAGTGATGAGTTGTGTTTAAAAACAGTTCACCCCACTGAGTAGTGTTTGAAATCTATTCACTATCAATAATCTACTAATTTAGATGTTTTAAGTGATGAGTTGTGTTTATAAACAGTCCAATCTACTGAGTAGTGTTTGAAATCTACTCACTATCAATAATCTACTAATTTAGATGTTTTAAGTGATGGGTTGTGTTTATAAACAGTCCAATCTACTGAGTAGTGTTTGAAATCTACTCACTATCAATAATCTACTAATTTAAATGTTTTAATTGATGAGTTGTGTTTAAAGACAGTACACCCTACTGAGTAGTGTTTAAAATCTACTCACTATCAATAATCTACTAATTTAGATGTTTTAATTGATGAGTTGTGTTTATAAACAGTCCAATCTACTGAGTAGTGTTTGAAATCTACTCACTATCAATAATCTACTAATTTAAATGTTTTAAGTGATGGGTTGTGTTTAAAAACAGTTCACCCTACTGAGTAGTGTTTGAAATCTATTCACTATCAATAATCTACTAATTTAGATGTTTTAAGTGATGAGTTGTGTTTAAAAACAGTTCACCCTACTGAGTAGTGTTTGAAATCTATTCACTATCAATAATCTACTAATTTAGATGTTTTAATTGATGAGTTGTGTTTATAAACAGTTCACCCTACTGAGTAGTGTTTGAAATCTATTCACTATCAATAATCTACTAATTTAGATGTTTTAAGTGATGGGTTGTGTTTAAAAACAGTTCACCCTACTGAGTAGTGTTTGAAATCTACTCACTATCAATAATCTACTAATTTAGATGTTTTAATTGATGAGTTGTGTTTAAAATCTATTCACTATCAATAATCTACTAATTTAGATGTTTTAATTGATGAGTTGTGTTTAA